TTGTTTCATCGTGTGTTGTTTTGTAGAACATGTTCGCGGCGGGCACCGACACTTCCTCTAGCACTACACTACGGAATGGGCCATCGCCAAGCTCATCCGGCAACCCAGAATCCTGGCCCGAGTCCAGGAAGAAATCGACTCCGTGGTGGGATGAGACCGCCTCGTGACCGAGCTCGACCTGCCCCGCCTGACGTACCTCCAAGCCATGGTCAAGGAAGCCTTCCGGCTCCACCCTTCCACCCCTCTATCCCTCGCACGAATCGCGGCCGAGAGCTGCGAGATCAACGGCTACCTCATCCCCAAAGGAGCCACGCTGCTAGTCAACGTGTGGGCCATAGCCCGCGACCCCGACGCTTGGGCCGAGCCCTTAGTGTTCCGGCCGGAGAAGTTCTTGCGAGGCGGCAAGAAGCCCGATGCCGATGTCAAGGGTAACCATTTCGATGTCGTTCCATTCGGGGCCGGGCACAGGATATGCGTGGGAATGAGCTTGGGCTTGAGGATGGTCCAGTTCATGACCGCGACGTTGGCCCACGCTTTCGACCGGGAGTTGGCCGACGGGGTTTCGCCGGAGAAGCTTAACATGGATGAAGCTTACAGGCCCACCATACAACGAGCCGAGCGTTTGTTAGTCCACCCGAAACCGAGACTCGCCTCACATGTCCACAAGGCATTGAGTTGAAGACCTAGTGAACATCATTTAAGCAGTTTTTGGTCGACAGATAATGTGGGCGCGATCCGCGCGAACATCGACCGTATCTACTTGTAATTTGACAGTTAAAAGAGTGGAAGCTACGGATAACGAGGTGAATACGCGTGCAGATTCAGGTTACATTTTTCCATCCGAGTTGCGAGCTGCATATCTAACATCAAAACTCATCTGTAACTAAAGGAAAAGAGTAACTGGGAACAGGAATGGAGGCTTTCCAGGCTCAAGTTGCACCGGCGTGCCGATTTCATACACCTGATATCTCTGCATACCTTGGTTATGACAAGACGAGCTGGACTGCTGGAAGATCCACACCCCATGCCAACGTGCTATCAACACCTGTTAAGGAACGACCCGTGAGCCTGATGAGTCCACATGAAGGGAGTTTGATTCAATTCTCCGTCGTGTCAAGCTACAGCGACATGAATACATGCTCGAATGGCTGAGGCGAAGGAAGATGAAGTTCTGTGCAAGGCTAACAGCCCAAGTTAGACACCAGTGAGAAGTTTCTTCAATGTCCTTTCTTTTGTGACGGAAATGGTGAGAAACTTTTGTCAAGGGAAAAGAAGGAAAAAGGAAGATTAAGAACAGATGGAATAGTAGTGATATTCTTAGAGAATACATCAAATTATTGTTTTCTTAATCTTTGAAGATATGAAATTCATATCATCGTCTTTTTAAAGATACTTTTTCCAGTTCATTATAAAGGATGTCTCTCGATTTCGTACATAACATTGCACATGCTTAATGGGTCTGTGATCAATTGATAGACGAGAGACTGACACATTTTTACAGCTCGTTGCACCTCTCATGAGGTAAATATGACACATGTGTATCGGTTTGAGATTTTTATTATTCAATATCGGAGATGTGACAATGTCAAATAAAGTCTTATGATTTTCGTCTCGTGATTCATCTCAACAAAGAATCACCAAAGTTGGTCCCAATCTTTTATCTTACCTATGGTGTATATATGCCGCTGGTCCCAACAGACAATTCTCTCTTTTCAAGCGCAAAAAACCCTTTGGTCAAAATATATCCGATCCCGAGCCAAGCGATACGAGCGACAAGTCCAAACAGACTATGCTTTAGGCGGGTCAAATTCGAGCAGATGGCTTTCTTTACGAGTCTGAACGGTCGAGGCATATCTCACTTTGGGAAGCTAAACTATTTTACCGTGAGAATATAGGAGCTCAGCTCGATCCGGTCGATTCATTCGAGCCTAAGACCTAAGCAGGTCGGGCTCGACACGCATTCCATGCATTTACAAGTCGGCGGCAACGTTGCCGCCTGTCGGCCCACGAGGTCCGCCGGGCGACAACGCGACATGATCCATCAGTCTCTAAGCTTCTAGAATTGATCTAGATGATAAGATAAAGGAAAAATGACGCAAAGAGTCCCTAAACTTTCATCTAATTTACAAAATGGTCCCTGAAACTTTTAATTTGTTTCAATGTTGTCCCTGAACTTTAATCAAATGCGCAATGTAGTCCTTAAACTTTTAATTTGTTCAATATCATCCATAAACTTTTGGTACATGTTCAATTTAGTCTTGAACTGTATGAAAATGTTTAATGTAGTTCATCCATTAATTTAATAGCATGGACTATATTCAACATTTTCATATAGTTCGGGGATGAAATTGAACATGTACCAAAAGTTCAGCGATCACATTAAACAAATTAAAAGTTTAGGGACCACATTAAACATTAGGCTAAAGTTCGGAGACTACGCAAAATAAATTAAAAGTCTAGGGACTACATTACATATTCAGCTAAAGTTCAGGGATTATTTGGGTCATTATCCCTAAGATTAGACCTGTCAAAATGGGTCATAAACCCATTTCTTAACCCATATATTAGTAAATGGGTCATAAATGGGTTAGTTATATTCAGTAAATGGGTCATAAATGGGTAGAAGTCTTATATTGGTGTTAAATGGGTTGTAAATGGGTCGCAAATGAATTTACAACTGATTTAAACTTAACGCATTTCTCTCGCCCTCACTCAATCTTGCACTCACTCATTCCGCGCTCTCATTTCAGCTTGGGTATGAATTTTCCTATATTTAATTAAATATGGAAGTGTTTTAGCAATACAGGTCTAATCGGGTATGGGTTGGGTATGGGTCGGGTCAGGTCAGGTATGGGTCAAGAAAATTGCATTGCGCATAAATGAGTCATAAACGGGTTAATGGGTCAATTTGGGTCGGACCATTTATGACCCGACCCAAACCCGATCCGACCCACCCATTTGATAGGTCTACCTAAGATAGACACACCGCCCTTTCTTGTCGATGTGGATCGTCTCGCCTTCTGTTTTCCTCCTCGTTTTCTTGGTCATATGGTTAGGATTAGGAATTTTATGAACGGGTCGGGCCCCACGGCCCACTTAGCTTGTCCAGGCCCACTAACAAGGGTGGGCCCACTCCGCCGTCGAGTCCCCGTGAGCAGTCCTACGTGGCAATGACACGCGTCGGCAAAGGGCAACGTGTTTCTAAAAGTTTCTACGCTTACGGCGCGTTTAGTAACGTTTCTACTTATCTATTTTTCTGTTTTTCTGTTCCCTAGAACAAAAAAAGAATAGAAATCTGTTTGGTAACGCATTTTATTTTTCTATTTCCTGGAATAGAAAAATGGCCAAGAAATAGATTTGGAACAGAAATAAGAAGTAGATTTTTTCTACTTCTTTGTTCCCAGAAACAAAAAAAGAAATAGAAAGGTCCGATCCTCTAGCCGCGGCCTCAGCTCCTCCTCCATCCTCCGTCGTCTGTAGACCGTCTCAAAGCACCGGTCCGGTCCATTCCCGGCGGGAATAATAAAAAAAAATTCATAAAAAAATTAAAAAATTCCAAAAATTCATAAAAATCAGAAAAATTCTCAGAAAATCCATAAAAATCAGGAAAACTCAGAAAACCCATAAAAATTTGCAAAATTCTGAAACTGAAAAAATTAAAAAAAATCCATAAAAATTTTCTAGAAAATAAAAAGAGATAGATTTTGGGAAAGCAAAAAATTTTAATAAACTTTTCCCCAAAAAAAAATAAAAAATCACAAAATCACAAAATGGCTTAGAATAAATTAAAAAATTCCGAAAATTCATAAAAATTAGAAAAATTTCAGAAAAATCCCTAAAAAAATTAGAAAATTAAAAAATTCCAAAAATTCATAAAAATCATAAAAATTCTCAAATCCATAAAAATAAGAAAAACTCAGAAAACCCATAAAAATTTGCAAAATTCCGAAATTGAAAAAATTAAAAAAAAATCGTAAAAAAGTTTCTGGAAAATAAAAAGAAACAGATTTAGGGAAAGTAAAAAAATTTAATAAATTTTACCCCAAAAAAATAAAAATAAAATTCAGAAAATGGCTTAGAATACCTGTGGCCACCCACTTTGAGTGAAATGTAAATTTTTTTAGGTGTCCAAGTGGTATTTTTGAAGATTCCTTAGTTTAGGGATTAAAAGGGGTTTTAAACCCCTAAAAAGGATTAGACAAACCAATAAACCATGCTTATTGATTTTTTTTCACTTATAATTTGTACTTATAGTTAAATAAAAGATATAGATTTGAATGCAAAAAATTGGGAATAGAAATTTTTTTGGTTGTACCAAACGCATTTCTGTTCTTTTTCTATTCCAGGAATAGAAATTTTGTGCAGTTACCAAACACATTCTTTTGCTCAAAAACTCATCCAAGAAATAGAAATAGAAAAAACTATTTCTAAAAAGAAATTATTTCCAGAAACAGAAACGTTACCAAACGCGCCCTTAGTCGTCTCTCGCTCTCGCTCTTCCTTCACCGAAGCACCGCCACCTTTTCGCGCTTCCATCACACTCGAGGAAGCCAAGCATCAAGAAGCGGAATTCAGGCGAACCCCAGATCAAATTTGAGCCTTCTCGACACAGATTTCGTGAGGTAATGCATGCTGACTGATGAAAGCTTCATCTTGTGCTCTTCACGTCTGTCTGTCTGCCTGCTTCGTTGCTTATGCCAATTGTGTGTGTGTGTGTGTGTGTGTGTGACTGTGCTTGTTGTCGATTGCAAGGAATGATTTTTCCATCTTTTGCTGAAAGAATTTTCTTTAAGTTTCGCTGCAAATCCAGTGGTTTGAGGGTTAGAGTAATATTGGGTTGTCACTTGTTGTGATCACTGTCTACGGTTGTTACTCGTTTGGTGGGGGGGGTTCATGATTCACTAGTCTTTGATCTTCAGTCAGTCAGTGGATGATTATATGTTTTTCTCTGGCCATCTGACATTGGCATTGCTGTTTTTAAGTCTCTGGGAGGCATCATAATGACTCCTGAGAAGTTCGCCCACAAGACAAACGAGGCGCTAGTCAGTGCTAGCAACCTGGCGGCGAGCGCCGGCCATCCGCAGTTCACTCCTCTCCATCTCGCCGTCGCCTTGATCTCGGACTCAACCGGGATCTTCAATCAGGCGATCACCAGCGTCGGCGGCGAAAATGCCGCGAAAGCGGCAGAGAGGGTCCTGAAGCAAGCCCTGAGGACGCTTCCCTCGCGGAGCCCGCCGCCAGACAAAGTTGCCGCGAGTTTAAGTTTGATTAAGACGATAAGGCAGGCTCAGGCCACTCAGAAGGCGCAGGGGGACTCTCATCTGGCCGTCAATCAGCTCGTCTTAGGCCTCCTCGAGGACTCCCAAATCAGGGAGCTGCTTAAAGAAGCCGGGGTTGATCCGGCAAGAGTGAAGTCCGAGGTCGAGAAGCTGCACGGTAAAGAAGGGAGGAGAGTGGAAAGTGCCTCGGGAGACACCAATTTCCAGGCATTGAAGACTTACGGAAGAGACCTGGTCGAGGAGGCTGGTAAGTTGGACCCTGTCATCGGTCGCGACGAGGAGATTGGGAGGGTTGTGAGAATCCTCTCAAGGAGGACTAAAAACAACCCAGTTCTTATTGGAGAAGCCGGAGTGGGTAAAACTGCCGTGGTAGAAGGCTTGGCTCAGAGGATAGTGAAAGGCGATGTGCCAAGCAACTTAGCTGACGTGAAAGTCGTGGCATTGAACATGGGCGCTCTGGTCGCGGACACGAAGTATAGAGGGGACTTCGAGGAGCGTGTCAAGGCAGTTTTGAAGGAAGTGGAAGAGAACCAAGGGAAAGTGACTTTGTTCATTGATGAAATTCACCTTGTTCTCGGTGCCGGGCAAATCAAAGGGTCGTCCATGGATGCTGCAAATCTGTTTAAGCCCATGCTCGCTAGGGGTCAGCTCAGGTGCATCGGCGCCACAACCCTCGATGAGTACAGGAAGTATGTCGAGAAAGACGCGGCCTTTGAGAGGAGGTTCCAACAGGTTTATGTGGCGGAGCCGAGCGTTGCTGACACAATTAGCATTCTGCGAGGGCTGAAAGAGAAGTATGAAGGGCATCATGGTGTTCGGATTCAAGACCGAGCACTTGTGGTCGCTGCACAATTGTCGAGCAGATACATAACTGGTATGGTGGCAATATGACTGTTTTCCCACTTTTTCTGCAACGTGACAAAATTCTCGTATTCTTGTTGCTTAATTTAAGGTGATTATGTGGCTGTGACTTTAACTTTTTTCATTCGTGTTAGGTCGTCGTCTGCCCGACAAGGCCATAGATCTGGTCGACGAGGCCTGTGCGAATGTGCGAGTCCAGCCGGATAGCCAGCCGGAGGAAATTGACAACCTTGAAAGGAAGAGAGTGCAATTGGAAATCGAGATACATGCTCTCGAGAAAGAAAAGGATAAGGCAAGCAAAGCTCGATTAGTGGAGGTAAGAAATATGATATGATGTGCGCAAATGCCTGGCTAAAATTTGTCTCGACAATTCCTTGTACTGTTCGGCATTAATTTGATGCTAGGTTCATAAGGAGCACGATGACTTGAGAGACAAGTTTCAGCCTCTGATAATGAAGTACAAAAAGGAAAAACAAAGAATCGACGAGATTCGGCAGCTCAAGCAAAAGAGAGGAGCTCCTCTTTGCTGCCCAAGAGGCCGAAAGAGGATATGACTTGGCTAGAGCTGCTGATTTGTGGTATGGGGCGATCCCGGAAGTGGAAAATGCTATTGCGGAGCTCGAAGGAAATGCCGAAGGGAACTTGATTTTGACCGAGACCGTCGGGCCAGAGCATATAGCAGAGGTAGTGAGCCGCTGGACAGGCATACCTGTTACAAGGCTCAGCCAGAACGAGAAAGAGAGGTTGGTCAGGCTCGCAGAGAGATTGCATCAGAGAGTTGTCGGACAAAATCAAGCGGTCGATGCTGTTGCCGATGCTATGTTGAGGTCGAGAGCCGGGTTAGGAAGACCACAGCAACCAACTGGATCATTCCTATTCCTGGGTCCATCTGGAGTCGGCAAGACAGAGCTCGCAAAGGCTCTCTCCGAGCAGCTCTTTGATGATGAAAACCAAATTGTAAGAATCGACATGTCCGAGTACATGGAGAAACATTCGGTCGCACGTCTGATTGGTGCGCCTCCCGGGTAAGCATGTTAATAAGTTTCAAACGCCACGCCTCCATCAATGAAATTAATCATTAGATGACTAGACGGCATTACCAAAACATCATATAATGCGTTTGCAGATATGTCGGACATGAGGAGGGTGGGCAACTAACCGAGGCCGTGAGGCGGAGACCTTACAGCATTGTGCTATTCGACGAGGTTGAGAAAGCTTGTGTATCTATCTACAACACCCTTCTTCAAGTTTTGGACGATGGAAGACTTACTGATGGCCGGGGCCGCACGGTCAACTTTCGAAATACCGTAATCATCATGACCTCAAACCTCGGGGCAGAGCACCTCCTGTTGGCACTTACAGGCAAGTGCTCGATCGAAGTTGCTCGCGATCAAGTCATGCAAGAGGTGAGTGATGTGACTCTCACATACGCAGTTCAACTACTAGGATTCAGGATCAGATAGTAGAAATTATGCTGTGTTCTCCTTTGGCAGGTGAGGAAGCATTTCAGGCCAGAGTTGCTTAACCGGCTCGATGAGATCGTTGTGTTCAATCCACTGTCACGCGATCAACTGAGGAAAGTTGCCAGGTTGCAGATGAAAGAAGTGGCTGGTCGGCTTGCCGAGAGAGGCATCGCTTTGGCAGCGACCGACACAGCTTTGGACTACGTCTTAGCCGAAAGCTTCGATCCACTCAGTACATAAATCAAGACACTTGGTCTTGGACATGTTCGTTTTGTCTTGCAATCAAGTGCTCAATCTGAAATGCTTATGTGTGCAGTTTGTCTTTTTTTTCAGGCTTATGGTACTAGACCTATCAGGAGGTGGCTGGAGAAGCGAGTCGTGACCGAGCTGTCAAGGATGCTCATAAGGGAGGAGCTCGACGAGAACTCGACCGTCTACATAGACGCCGCGCCACACGCTGACGGCTTGGCGTACCAAGTGGAGAAGAATGGAGGACTTTTCAATCCAGAAACCGGGCAGAAGTCGGAGATACTCATTCAGGTACCGAACGGGCCCAAAAATGACACGGCTCGCATGCCGGTAAACAAGATCAAGATCGAGGAAATCGACGCTGATGAAGAAATGGATGACCTGAATCCGTGATTGGAGATTCAGCCAAAGTGTTGCCGAATTTTTCTGCCCTTTTGATGTTGTCAAAATCAACCTATGCTTTTGGTACTGTTTTATCTTCCTATGTGTGGTACCATTTAGGGGTGAGCAACTTGGACCGCCCAAACCGGGACCAGACCAGACCAGACCGGACCGGACCGATGCGTTTGGTCCAGTTCTCGGGACTATCGGTCCGGTTCCCGGTTCCTAAAAGCGGAACCGGTTTCCGGGCGGTCCGGTTCCCAGTTCTAAGGGGGGAACCGGACCGGACCGGACCGACTATTTAATATATATTTTTGTTATTTTTTTCTTTAAAAAAATTAATAAAATGTGAACTAAACTCTAAGTGAACTTTGTTATCATAAAATCATTGATAAAAATTAGTAAAATGTGAATTAAACCGTAAGTGAACTTCATTGACATAAATTCATTGACAAAAATTAGTAAAATGTGAACCAAACCTTAAATGTTTAACCCAAAAAAAAAAACTAAACTCTAAGTGACCGGTTCCATTGGACCGGACCGGCGGTCCAGTCCGGTTCCCGGTCCTAGAACCAACCGGTCCGGTCCACGGTTCCCAAAATTGGGAACCGGACCGGACCGGGAACCGATCACCCCTAGTACCATTGGTAAATTATTTTATAAGTTGGGTAGTCTTTATAATATTATCATTATATAGCTTAGGGCAGCTGAAAATTATGATTAGTGTAATTTTTGAAAATTTAAATAGCGTTTAAATTTGCCTAAAATTTTGTTTAGTGTAATATTGAAAATTTAAATAGTCTTAAATTTGCCTAAAATTTCTTTTTATTAGGTGGATGGTGGGTTTTGCCAATCTTTCAATGTCTCATAAGTCTATTTAGGTTTTAGGTTTTATGTATTTTGCAAAAAATAAATGATTTAAAAAATATTTTTTATATAAATAATTGTTTATTTCGCTTGAAATAATTAGTCATCAGAAAATGTTTTCATTATCATCGGTAATTTATGTCTAAGTATTTTAGTGAATGATGAAAATATTTTTCATTGACTAATTATTTCAAATAATTATTTTCAAGGAAATATTTTTCTAATTATTTATTTTTTCGAAATAAACGGGATATTAAAGCGAAAATATAATAGGAAAAATGAAGCAAACAATCCCTAAACTTTGGTCCAATGTGCAATTTGGTTCCTGAACTTTTAAATTTGTTCAATTTAGTCCCCGAACTTTAACCTGATGTTCAATACGGTCTCTGAACTTTTAATTTGTTCGATGTGGTCCCTGGATTTTTGGTACATGTTCAATTTAGTCTTTGAACTAAAATGTTTAATGTAGTCCTTCAATCAATTCAAGTTCAGGGACCACATTGAACATTTTCATATAGTTCGGGACTAAATTGAACATGTACCAAAAGTCCATGGACTACATTGAACATTAAGTTAGAGTTCAGAAACCACATTAAATATTAGAATAAAGTTTAGGAGCCAAATTACATATTGAGCTAAAATCTATAAACTATTTATGTCGTTATCGCAATATAATATCATAACCATACATATATATTTATATATATAATGCTACCCACGTTGTCACATCATATAAGATGTGTCATGCATTAATGTTACGTGGGACTCTGTTGGGCTTTAAATTGGACTTTCCAATCCTATGTTTTTTCTCTTTCATATTTATTGTTGTCCTTCTGTTTGTTCTTTATTGTTGCAAAGAAATATCAAATCTCTATCAGACGGAAAAGTACGGTCATACATATGTAAGATTACCTCAGCAGAGGATTCCGATTTGTCTAACGGCCCGAAAATATTTTTAAGAAATTGAAAAAGTGAACGAGCAAAAAGGGCATGATTGCAATTGAGTGGGGGTCGTAAATTGAATGACCGCTAAATTAGTGGGGTCGAAAAATTAATGTCCCGTCCCCACTGTACGAACCTCCAATAATATTTTAAAGAGAAAATGATACACATAATTTCTAAACTTTAACTTAATATGCAATTTGATTCCTGAACTTTTAATTTTATTCAATATAGTCCTTAAACTTTAACCTAATGTTCAATATGATCCTTGAACTTTTAGTATATGTTCAATTTAGTCCCTGAACTATATGAAAATATTCAATGTGGTCAGTCCAGGGACCACATTAAATATTAGATTAAAGTTCGGGGACTAAATTGAACAAATTAAAAAATTCAGGAACCAAATTGCATATTTGGCTAAACTTCAGGAACTGTTTGTGTCATTTTCTCTATTTGAAATTTTTGTCCGTGCACTTTTAGTTAATTCGGAAATATATGCTATTTTTATGGAAAATCTTACATCGAATTTCACATGCAAAGGTGTATATATATATAAAAAAAAAATTTCAACATGTGCACCCCACATATCAGCAAGTCTGTGTTATCCACCGGCACATTTAAGAGCTTCATTTTTCATGTGTAAAAGCTACAAAAGTATGTTAGGACATAGAGAATATGTGCCTAAAAGTGTATGATCTTGTGCCATATTAAGAGAAATGGAACGTGAGCATGTGCAATTAATTTGTCTAAATTTGCTTAAACGGGTTGGGAGTTTGACCCACATAGACGAATGCACGCGGAGTTTTATTCTTTTTTAACTTTTTTCAATTTTTGTGCTTTGTCTTCATGTCTAGCTCGAACGTATTTAGAAAGAAGATCTTTTGTCTGATGATAGACCGCTCCGGTCGCTTTAGATGAAAAGAGGCTCGCAATTCGTGGACCTTATACTTTCCCGTGGCGTTGCTTCGCCGCGCTTTTCACCGTGTGAGTCCAGCCCGTATCTCTCGATTCCCAACATTCTCCCACGTGGGTCGAGATCCTCTCAACCGAGGAAACAAATCGGATATGCTATACTCATATAGCACTTCGAAATACGTACTAGATGTTTTCTATAGTCGAATTCACCTTATTTTGAGTAAGGGTTAATACCACGAAAAACCTCAAATTGGGACGCATGTGACAAATTTACCCCAAACTAATTTTTTGACCACCAAAAACCCCAAACCGATACACTTGTAATAAATTTACCCTCCGTTAAATTGGATTAATATCACAAAAAATTACAAACCAATAAACATATGAAACTGAGAAGTAAAACCCTAAATCAATACACTCGTCAACTGTCACGTGTCATCAAACTCAGCAATTTGACGGTAAAATTTAACGGGAACTAATGAAGGGTAAATTTGTCACAGATATATTAATTTTAGATTTTTTGTGATATTAACCCTTTGAGTAACGACAAGGTTGAGATGCTCTTCCATTTCACTTCCCACACTTTCCCCCCACATGATCATACAAGGGTTACAAGTTAAGCCACTTCCTACCCTAATGCTACTCTCCCAACATCACACATGAGAAACCTTAAGAACGATGATAGGTCAATAGGGGGTTGTCAAATGTCACTGTGAAGAAGATTAGGTGGAAATGGGGTTAGAGCAACACAGCAATGTCGCGTGCCCTACCAAACTTGAATTGAATTTTGTATGGATTTCGTGTCTTCGCAAGGGACCATAGAATCTGCAAAATCAGCGCCCCTCCTCCGAGATTGCAATGTCATGTGATACCACACCGCACAACATGGCATTAGAGATTCCACGGGGCAGAAAGATTTCTATTGTCAGGAAAGGTTAAGTTTTCTGATGGGATAAGCGTACTGGAAGCCGTAAAACTTGTCAAAAAAAATTGCGATTGAGTCCTTAGACTTTCAAAAAAACAAGTCGTAAAACTTGTCACGGAAGTGTAACTGAGCCCTAAAACTTTCATAAAGTGCGATCGAATCTTAAAACATGTTAAATTGGTGCAATCGAGTCCTTTCATTGGCTTCGTTCAACTTGACCAACGGAAAATGCTAACAAGTTTTAGGACTTGACTGCACCAACTTGATAAATTTGAGGACTTTTGCGATAAGTTTCAGGACTCGATTGCACTTTTCGAAAGTTTTACAACTCAATCGTACGAAAAATGCTGACAAGTCTTAAGATTCAATTGCGCCAACTTGATCAATTTTAGGACTTGATTACATATTTTTAAAATTTCGGGACTCAGTCGCACCTTTACGACAAGTTTCGAAACTCAATTGCAGAAGAGCAGTCATCCCTTTTGTAATCTAATCACTCGCTTGCTGCTCATGGGTCATAAATCAAAATGGATTGGAGTAAAGTTCAAGAGGGCCTCAAATTTCATGGGGTTTGTCACGTGGCTGATGAATAAGAGTGGGGGAGAGAGACGCAACGACCATTCAAGGCATGTGCCTCCTAACATTCCAATGCCCAATACTAACCTACCTATCACGCACAAAACCATGGACAGGACTCTAATCTACTTCCTCTAATCTACTCTCACCCACACATACGCCACTATAAAATTTCCAACCCTTCTTGACACACACATCCTAAATCATAACACACACACACATTCTCTCTCTCTCAAAGGCCATGGCACCCCTCTCTCTCATCCTGGCCACCATAGCCATATCCATCTTCCTCTACTCCCTCCTCGGCTACCTCCGCCGGCCAGCCCGCCCGCTCCCCCCCGGCCCGAGGCCGTGGCCCCTCGTCGGGAACCTGCCCCACCTCGGCGCCGTGCCCCACCACTCCATCGCCGCCCTGGCCCGGACCTACGGGCCGCTCATGCACCTGCGGCTCGGGCTCGTCGACGTGGTGGTGGCCGCGTCGGCCTCCGTGGCCGCCCAGTTCCTGAAGACCCACGACGCCAACTTCTCGAGCCGGCCGCCCAACTCCGGGGCGAAGCACATCGCGTACAACTACCAGGACCTGGTGTTCGCGCCCTACGGCTCGAGATGGCGGATGCTGAGGAAGATTAGCTCCGTCCACCTCTTCTCCGGCAAGGCTCTAGATGATTATAGACATGTTCGGCAGGTGAGCAGTTTATATGCCTAAGCATAGATGTGAGTACTAAATTATTTGATGCGATCTCAATATTATTATAAAGTAACTTTTTCCTTGGGGTCATGACTAAAAATTAGTCCTTTCTGCGGGACCCATAACTTAAATAAATGCCCGCTCTCTTTTTAGTAAAGCTAGGATCCAGAGCACACGAAAGAACTTTATGTGAAAATAAAGGCCAAATTGCAACAGAAGTCCTCACCTTTTGTCTTTTTTTTCAATTTTATCCCCAACTCTTTTGGGTTATCCAAATAGATCCCCACCTTTTGAACTCGTATCAAATCTATGCCCTAGAAGATTCGGTCGAATTTTCATTAAAAGGGCCCTTTTCTAGTTTTTTTTTTAATTTTCAGAAGAACTCAAAATTATTATACTAAAACCGAGAACTATTAAGAAAGTTGTTAATTTTGTGATTTGGCCAAAAATTAAGTTACTGACTTTGAGGGTTTGTTCAATGAATGGGACCATTTTCAAGCAATAAATAGGGGACGAATTTGGTTATCAACGTCTACATCTATCATTACTCTTTTCACGTCACGTAGGGCACGAATTTAGTGGATTTAACGCAATTTATGTGTCGCACTTTGAACTTGTCCACGGCATCTCTTTAAAATTGGACCATGTCAAGTTCTCTTTGGCATGAACATCACACAAACTTACAATTTATATACTTATTTATTTCAATGTAATAGGAAGAGGTCGCGATACTCACAAGTGCGCTGGCACGTGTGGGTTCGGCCCCGGCGAACCTGGCCCAACTGCTCAACGTGTGCACGGTGAATGCCCTGGGGCGGGTGATGATGGGGAAGAGGGTGTTCGGGGACGGGAGCGGCAGGGGCGACCCGAAGGCGGACGAGTTCAAGTCGATGGTGGTGGAGGTGATGGTGCTGGCGGGCGTGTTCAACATCGGCGACTTCGTGCCGGCCCTCGAGTGGCTCGACCTCCAAGGGGTCGCGGCCAAGATGAAGAAGCTGCACAAGCGCTTCGATGCCTTCTTGATGGCCATCTTGGAGGAGCACAAGGCCAACATGGGCAAACCCGGGAACAAGCACAATGACTTGTTGAGTACTTTGATCTCTCTGCAGGATGTTGCCGATGAGGAAGGAGGGAAGCTCACGGATACCGAAATCAAAGCATTGCTTCTAGTAAAATCTCACTCTCTCTCTCTCTCTCTCTCTCAAATAGTACTCATATAACATATCTAGATCGTTAGATTAGGCGTATCCCATTCAACACGTATTGGTCTAAACGAGATTTATGTACATGTCGGTTTGATACGAATCGGATCCGATAACTTTTGCTCGTGCACAAGTATGGACGTAGGCAAATTGTTATGAACATTGAAGGGGCAAAACATTAATTTTGATTTCTTTAACATGGTAGATTGCTTTAACTAAAGTGGGTAAGAAAGGACATCACGTGGTGGTGTGGTGTAACCAAGTGGTGTAACTCATGTTTTGTTATGAAGTTGGGAACTCCAAGTAGTGAAGTTGTCTCATCGTGTGTTGTTGCGTTGCAGAACATGTTCACGGCTGGCACCGATACTTCCTCCAGCACCACGGAATGGGCCATCGCGGAGCTCATCCGGCACCCCAAAATCCTGGCCCGAGTCCAGGAAGAGATCGACTCCGTGGTCGGGCGAGACCGCCTCGTAACCGAGCTCGACCTGCCTCGCCTGACGTACCTCCAAGCAGTGATCAAGGAAACCTTCCGGCTCCACCCGTCCACCCCTCTATCCCTCCCGAGGATCGCAGCCGAGAGCTGCGAGATCAACGGCTACCACATCCCCAAAGGTGCCACGCTGCTAGTCAACGTGTGGGCCATAGCCCGCGACCCCGACACTTGGGCCGAGCCCTTGGTGTTCCGGCCAGAGAGGTTCTTGCCGGGCGGCGAGAAGCCCAATGTCGACGTCAGGGGTAACGATTTTGAGGTCATTCCATTCGGGGCCGGACGCAGGATATGCGCAGGAATAAGCTTGGGCTTGAGGATGGTCCAATTCATGACCGCGACGCTAGCCCACGCTTTCGACTGGGAGTTGGCCAACGGAGTTTTGCCGGAGAAGCTTAACATGGATGAAGCTTATGGGCTCACCTTACAGCGAGCCGAGCCTTTGTTGGTCCACCCGAAACCGAGACTCGCCTCACATGCCTACAAGGCCTCGAGTTGAAGCGTTCGCGAACATCCTTTTTGGCAGTTTCACACGTTTGGCTGATAGAATAGAGAGGGCAACTTGCATGGATGCAGATTCAGGTCACATTCTTCATGAGCAATTTGCATCTCGGTCGCAAGTTGTATCTGTGTGCTGGTGATTCTATGAGAAAAAGATTCAGGGTATTGGCAAAGATGGTCCACAAAGTTATGTAAAAAAACCAAATAAAACTCATCAATAACTGAATGAAAAGAGTTAATTGAGAACAACAATGGATGCTCTCCAGGCTCAAAGCTGGCATTGGCGAGCCAATTTCATACGTTGGATCTCCAAAATTGACATCGCAAAGACGAGAGATTCTCAATTTGAACAGCAAAGAGGCACCTGTCTTATGCAGCCATTAATCAGTATTCGCCTTTCACACCGAAATATCTTCAAAAAGCACCAAACTGCATCAAAATTTCAAGAAGTCTGAAATGCAGAAAGAAAGCTTCATTTGATTTTTGTGAAATTAATTAGATCCGACCAAATTTCAGACTTCATCGATTGTTATCTACAAAAGACAGCATTTTCAGCTTTGATTTTAGGCTGATTGAAGTTCAGCCTCTGGAGCGTTTCCCGTAAGTTTTCCGTACAATAAACTGCTGGTTGTTTAAGATATCTCATATTTCACGTAATATCATGAATGAACAGAAAAAAAAAAAAAAAAAAAAGCACGGCGCGGGCCTGGTTATCTCGCACCAACAAGCTTAGGTGTTCGTCTTCGCCAATGAAGCACGGAAGAACTATGTACTCTGAGAGCTTCAGAGGACAATTTATAATGGTGAAAAATCACCTTCATCTCACTGCAGAATAGTAATTCATTATTCAGAAAAGGCACCTAACATCTCTCTTACAAAGGAACTTTATCCAGATTTCACAGCAGAGGGACTCAGAATATTACTGAAAATGACTCTTTTTCAGATATTGATAAGTCTACATGATTTGAAGGAAAGTTATTCGATAGCAATGGTTCCCTTAAATAACTGATTGTATTGTATGAATCATTACAAGCTACACGTTATAAACAACTCGTGATGAGAAAAGACGTTCGATCAGCAACTGCACCCAACACTCACCTCTTTTCATCTTCCGTTGTGTTCTCAGAGAAGAAGAAATGTTGTCCTTTCCATAGAAAATCTAGATGCACTCGTAGATGCTTAGCATGCTGAGTCTAGCTGTTGTCCATTTTTATGTGCTGAAAGGAAGATCTTCAATGGGGTACTCTTGTTCAAACCCAAGATAACAGTCCGAAATGAGTATTAATTTGACCCCCTGTCAGAAGAACAATAAACTGTGTAAGTCGATACATTTACAGAATATAAAACACAAACTCTATAGTGTAACCAAGGAAGAGAAGAAGAATATTGTTGCTTGCCCATGATAATAAGTGATAAAGCCGAAAGATAGCTTAGCATCAGAAAAACGTATCATTCAATAGCAGAGCAAATTCTCTCCTAGGTCCTCAGGGCATAGTATTACCAATTTATCCTACCCAGAATAATATCAAACAAAAGCTTCAGAACATACTCGAGGTGAGTTCGCAATGCTAATTATGACAAAAAGAAACGCCGATGGCAATTACCAACAGGTCAAAGTTGACTCGTATGTCTACCTAACAACTAAACGACTTTTTTGCAGTATATCCAGAGTTTCAGATAAGAATATATCACCCTTATAACACAATTAATCCTTCAAAATGTGCTATCATTCCCAATCTCACGCAACACTTATCTTCCAAATATTTAGGTAATCCTTTCATTTGACCAAAATACTATACTTTTGTGACCATATATAAAGACTATTGACACTGCAGAACATCAACTTTGAAAGAAAGAAATTTTCAGCACAAGAAATGGAAATAAATTGTTTGGCTAGGATGGGAGGATATTCATTTGAACCTGCATATCAGTCGGTGCTGAGGGCAACTTCATGTGGGTGACTAAGTGATCCGTGAAAGAAACTCTCTTCACTGCATATAACTCAGAAGAGGAGGTATTCCCAAGTACCAACCACCATGCTTCATCTTTCACCTGCCAAAACAATCATGTAAGAAACCAAATTAAGATTGTTTTACCTAAAGTTCTTCACTAGAGCACTGGATGTGAAATAATACCTTGGGAAATCGAGGGGCAAAAGCTCTTGATGTGCTTCTCCTCCTGTTGGTCTTCTCCAATCTAATATCCAGAGTTGGAGATTTTTCTCCAGTGCTGCCCTTCCTCTGAATTCTTAATTTCATCCGGACTTGTGGAAAATACTCGAGTTCCTGAACACACATGATAGAAAAGGAAACTGAGGGAGTAAACTTATGTATAGTCCAATCTTAAAACATAGGAATTGAAATGAATCGATATCTTTATATCACCTCATGAATTAACCTTAGGGAGACGAGCACTAGATAAATAGAACCCTCTTTCTAAATTTCAGATTGTTTACATGATGGACCTAATCTTTTGCAATCCGTGTCGGTATTACAGTTTGCCGAATTGTCTAATCTTCTACGTGATTTTAAAACCTACCACAGCCACTTACGTTATGGTTATATGTCTGAACAGCTTAAAGGTGAAGGCTAAGTTACTTAAACAGTAAAATGTCGGACATATAAAAAGTTAATTAATGTAGATCTCTTCTAGCAGAAGCATAGATTTATTGTGTATTAATAATGTTAATATGGCAAACTCCATAATATTGTAATCAGATACAAAACGACATTTACATTCATTGCCCTAAGAAGTGGTGACAGAAGAATATGCACTTGCACAAGAAACGCATCCAACCATGCAAACAATGTCCAGAATATTCCATACCTGCAACAATCTTAGATTGCGAGAATCTCCAATTATACTCTGCAGGGACGACTTTGGAATGTCCAGTAGTTGCTGAAGAGTTGCAATTCCTCTTCTTCTAAGGGTATCCTCGAGATTTTCATTCATACTGGGCAACATCCTCAAGGAAGAGTCTTCATCAAACCACAAGCCCTAAACGAGTTTTAAGAATTTTGGTGAGAGAAATGGAGGGGCAAAGGCAATTGCTTCAATGATAAATCAACTGCATAAAGAGATCAAATTTTGAAACAAATAAACACTTCACATTGCATCATGAATAGTTGAATTTGATCTATCGCACAAACATCCATACCTGCATAACCATTTGGAGAAGATGCATGCAAGAAATTGAGCTTGACAGCCATCCACTGTTTGCACATATATCTATCATGGCCTGGATGATCCGAATACTCTGATCCAGCACCGACTTCAAGTCGGTCACATAGTCACTAACTGGTAACTCTAACTGTGAAAAATGTGCCTGAATCCCAAGAAGTTTATGGTATATAAATAGTGGAACAAACAACAACAGAAAAGAATTGGTCAAGCCGGGAGAAGCAACACGAAAGAACCTGGAATAGCAAGTTGGCTTTAACATGGGGATCATCTAGGCGATTCTTATCAACCTTATACCTGACTTTCTCAGACAACTGAGCATTGTGAAGCTCCTGGAAGAAAAGGACAAAACAATATAAAGCCGAGAAGCTCCACAAATAATCTTAATATAACAATTTAAGGGAATAAATGCAATGCAAAGCCTTTGCATCAAACACCAAGTATTAGGAACATACTATAATTTACGAGTTTCAAGTGATTTAATAAGTTCATAGAACTTGAAATAGAATAAAAACGACGACATGTTACTCTGCAAAAGGAAAGAGGAGACAAGCGGTCATGCCGTGAGGTGGACCTCTATATGAATCCAGTGTAGAAAGAATGAAAGTGCATTATTAGCTTCATGAACCATAAATATGGCATCAATAGACCCTGCCATTCCCTTAATTGTGAATTTATGTCTTCAAAGGTCTCTCCACTTAAATCTAAACCCAGGAAAAGTATGAATTCAACAAGAAGGGATGTTCCCTTTAAAGAAGCTTATTCAATAGTAATGCTAACTAATATTCAAACCATACCATGAGTAACCTAGACGAAAACATCCCTTGACTGGTCAAGAATATATGAAATAAAAAAGCAGGAAAGCTAAGAAAAAAAAGTTGGAATACCTCTATCAACAAATAAAATAATGCCATTCCCTAGCTATGTTTCGATACATGACTACTCTATATCTTTTAAAGCTGCAAACACATAAAGTCTCAGCATATGCTCGTCAATTTGGTTTCAATAGAAGCTGTAGGAAGGTATCATAACCTGGTGGTAGCTGTCTGACTCTAAACACATCTTGGATTAAGTGACGGCAAACAGAAGTAAATCACAACTACCAAACTCTTGAAAAAAGCATAAAACATAGCAGCAGGCTCATGCCGGAGTAATGTCTACCATGCATAATAGATCAGACATGGTATAGGAAATTCAGTATCATCTTAAAGATTATTTTTGTGAGATTCGTGTTAAGATTCCGACAAACATCTAGATAGCACAAGTGTACAGAGGTCAGAATCCGAATAGGAATTTGCCACTGTGACATTTTGGGGGTGACTAAAGTCCCAAGGAATCGACAAGTTATTACCACAAATTCAGAATCTTAGTTGTTACTGAAATCATTGGAAGAAGTAACGAGCGGAGAACTAAAACATGGCTCAGAAATATAGCTCATGGGAGAGTTAAATCATCACAGGTGTCATCAAATAGTCTATGTTTGCAATTACCTCGTTATGCCGAACAGGAAGTTCATTATATTCTGACGCACCCGACAATATGTGCAGAAACACCTGCAATGAGGAACAGTGTAAGTGGCTACAAAAGTAGACCAATTAAGACCTCACGGTCTACACTATTGGAACTAACTCCTCACTTCAAGTGACGTATCCGGTCCTATATTGGATCCAAACATTGATACAGTCAAGTAGCTGAGATAATATTGAGATGCAATTGATCCCAGCATCATTGGTTCAACACTGTCTTCATTCGTCTTGATGCATCCACTATCCTCAAGATCTTCGAAAGTATTTTGTACTAACCTAGAAGACAACCACCACCAGCCAAATTTGTAAAAGGATTGCTAATGGTAATTTACTAGAAAAAGAGGTTCAAAAGTGTCGGGATATTAATTGAATTCCATAATCCCTAGATTACCTGGACAAGTAAGAACTGAGAGTTTCGGGATCTGTCTCATCTAGCCCATAGTAAGCAGGATTAACTGTCTGAGAGAAAGACAGCCTCATTAGAACTAGAGCAAATCAGGATAACTTAGTTTCCAGAACTTGCAAGTGAACAGAAAGAGAAATAGG